TTTGTAGTTGTCATTCATAATCAAATGCATAATCTTCGACAGAATATGTTGGTATAGTTCTTGAATGTTAAAAATGTTATTGTTGTTATTTTCTCACATTTATTATAATGTTTTTCATCATGATCATTATTGCCATTCATAATAATCATTATTTTCATTCATTACCATCAGCATTGTCATAATCTTCATTGGGAAGTTTAGTTACAACTCTACCTTCACCTTTTCACCATTGTCAGTATCATCCAGATATCAGTCATCTTTAGAATAATAATTATGTTACTTTGTGAAATAATTATATTAATGCATCAGGCCATATTCATATGGACACTTGGTTTTAAAGTTGATAATGTTTTGTAAAGATTTACAAAGTGTTGTATCTTGAAATAAGCAGTAGCCATCATATGTTGAAAAATAGTTGTATGATTGGCAATTAAATTATGTGAATAGTAATTAAGGAAATGTCTTACTGGTTATATTGGTTGACATTATGTTGCTCTTCATATTGATTGATTGGAACCAAATTATGAAATGAATTACATATACAGATCATAGGTTGCACGGATGATGGATGTACGCGTATAATAATACTGTATTTAGAACTTAGTGATAATGACGAAAAATATAAGCTTATGTTTTTTATACAGATCTGTAGGTGCTTTTTTATGTTAGTTTTATTAAGGGAACTAAGACTTATCATACGGAAGTTGCATTTGAAAAGGCAAGTCATTTTTCATGTGAGATTGGGCTAACCTATCTCCATGCAATGCTCATGACTACCAGCATTATTATAGAGGAAATGTCAAGGATAAAGCATTTATTATAATTCTGAAATTTATTAGTTATCAAAACCTAGTAAATATATGGTTAATCAGTTGTAAAATTCTGACAATGGAAAGAATCTAGGAAAGCATTTGACAGCAGTGGAAAGTGACATTTATAATGTTAGCTAAGACCAAAACTGTATCAAAAACCCCGTAGGAATCTCCATGACTCAAAAGGCATCCTGTAGTCGTAAGGTTACTCAGATAATCCTGCCAAGATTTTTGTAACAATTTTATTGTTTAGAAGCATTACTTGAATGTGTAGATGCAGTTGTTGTAACAATGTTGTACGTGGTCATTGCTGTTTACTGTTAGGGATATCGGTGGTTAATTTTATCGGAAGCTGAGTAGAATAAGCCTGATTTTCCAAAGCAGTGATTCATTGCAAAATGTGTAAGTTTGAAACCAAAAACAGATGTGGTAACACAGAGTTTGCTGCAGTAGAGAAAAGTACAATTGGTCTTAAAATGATTTAGAAAATATCCAAAGTTCATTCCATTTATGTATAGAGACATAACTGTCGTCATCAAATTCATATAAACATGTTTTGCTGTTTTCTCTTCCCTCCTGTCAGGCATAAGAGGCAGTGACAGTGATTTAGGGGTCACTTTTCTTTTTCTTTAAAGTAATTTACCGCTTTAGACATACAGTATGTACCTGCACATTATACACACTATCATAATCATTCATAACATGGTCTTTCACTTACTAAAATGCACACTCATTCAGTTTCATTGTTTCATATTATCTCATTCACACTTTTCATCCACACTCATGCTCATTTGCTCACAGATTTAACACCTTCTTATTCACATACAAGTCACTTACATTCACTTAATACTCTGTCATTAACAATTGCTCACAGTGTGCTTGCATTCATTCTCACTTTCACATTCTTCATGCCAACAGCTTCACACCTACACACACCTACACACACACACACCTACACACACACACACACACCTACACACACACACACACACCTACACACACACACACACCTACACACACACACACACCTACACACCACACACACTACACACACACACACACACCTACACACACACACACACTACACACACACACACACACCTACACCTACACACACACACACACACCTACACACACACACACACACCTACACCTACACACACACACACCTACACCTACACACACACACACACACACCTACACACACACACACACACTACACACACACACACACACACACACCTACACACACACACACACACCTACACACACCTACACACACACCACCTACACACACACACACACACCACACACACCACACACACACACACACACACACACACACACCTACACACACACACACAGACCTACACACACACACAGACCTACACACACACACAGACCACCACACACACAGACCCACACACACACACAGACCCACACACACACACAACCCACACACAGACCCCCCCCCCACACACACACACACACACCTACGTGCGTAATTCATGATGAACAGATTGCAACAGGAACAACGAAGGGAAGGACAAAAAAAAAAACACGAATATGCCGAAGGCCTTTTCGCTAATGCTTCGTCAGGGCAGATGTATGCCCTGACGAAGCATTAGCGAAAAGGCCTTTGGCATATTCGTGTGTTTTCTTGTCCTTTCTTTCGTAGTTCCTGTTTCACACACACATACACACACACACCCTATTTGATTTTACAAGCAACAATCCGCATACGGCAATTGTTAACTCCTCCTCCTATTCCTTTTTTTTTTGTCCTCTTAAATTAGGACTTCGATGTTACCAACGTCGTGAAAAAGACTGATGTGGCGCAACAGTGCTAGTGTGTTTAACCAAAGAAATCACTCCACTCTAAACACAAAGTTTCTAATTTTTACGGATTTTTGTTTTATGTTCGTGATTTTTTTTTTTTTTTTTTGGTCAAAATTTTATCACTCATAGAGACTTGAAAGAATATATATATATGATATGCAATATTTATGCTCCAAAGGGCAAGCTTTGTGCACAGTGGATCATAATAAAAGTAAAGTGTGAAAAAAAATATAATGCATTGAATAAAATGATTAGTTTTCTTATCCTGAGCAAGACTAAGGTAAAATGTTCAGTTCAGTACAGCGGTTTAGATTAGATATTTGATTTTGATAATTTATTTAGACAATATTTTACAAACATATGCAATCAATTTACAATATGAATTAGAGGAAGTTGTGTGTGAATGATTTATATTCAAGTTATATGTAATTATTATATACAATCATTCCAAGAATATTGACCAAGCATTTTGAGTGCTCATTGGGCAAAAGATGATGTGCAAAAGTGTTTCCAGAAAGATAATTGCAGTTAATTTGAAACTTTTTATCGGTACAATATGCGCCGAGTTATTAGAAATCATAAATAATAAAATTGTTTCCAATAAGTGCATCATCTCTTAACATCTATATTTGACTATTTAGCTTTTTTTCTCCTTTTCCCACAAATCATTGACGTTTACAACCGTTCGTGAATTTTCATTACCGATATTGGACTAAACTATTTCAGCGAATTTGTTTTCATTATTTTGAAAGATGTGAAGAAGCCTTTGGGGTGTACCGGGGTTTTGGTTTATACAACAGGTATCTTTTTGTACAATGCGCTGTTATGGAAAGACACTCAAGCCCTCATTTCTACCTTAAAAGAAAAAAAGAAAAGAAAAAAAAAGTAGAAATGAACTTCAGTCGTGAAGTTTCGAACCGCTAACAGTGTGTGTTTGTGTTGCTTTCTTTCGTATTTTTTTCTTATTTTTTTATGATTACAGTATACATCAAACGTTCGCTAAATTCTAGATTAAAAAACAACAACAAAACAATTGAACTTTATTATAAACCTGGGATACAACTAAATAATAATAGATTAATAATAACATCACAGTTTAATCAGTTGACGGCCAGCGCATCTT